AGATCAGCAAGCTATGGACACTTAACTCTTTCAACCTGGGCTTGGTCTGTGGGACCATCCTCATAACCATTTTGTGCTTGTTATAGTTTTCATGCTACAACTTTTAAATTAGTAAGTGAATGCTAATTAAATTTTACAGATTATCAGTAAACATTACAATGCTTTCGTATGCATAATATCTAATTTTTTTTTATTAAGTCTTAAGGTTAGTAAAGCAATGTTTCTTTCTTGCCTTTTTTTTTTCTTTTCACATCTTGCCTATCTATCATGCAAAGTAATTTTCTTCTTAACATTAAAAATACTTTTGTGCATCAGAAAATTTCAAAATTTCATAGGCAAACCTTTATAGTGTCTGCATAGTTATCAAATGTTTCTTAAGAAAAAACTTTATATTTTATCTGTTATTTTCAGTAATCTCTGTATGGGTTCAGTAAATTTGAACGATATTGCAACCACCATAAAAATTAGGAAATAAACATAAATTATGCCTCTTTCATTCTAGAATGAACACAAATTATAGCGAAAACAAAAAATGTTTAGACTAAATAGCTTAAATCTCATAACATTATACATTTGTATATATTTATTATTTTTTTATATTGACCTTTCACCCGTGCCTGGGTAACAATACAGAAGTTCCAACCATATGGCTCACGTGCACTCATGTTACCGTATCAAATAACATAAAGGTCACCTTTGGTCTGTACAAAGTAACTTGTTTAGGCTGTGTTTTAGTTGACTAGTATTTTGTAAAATACAATCACATTTCAATTATTATACATTATTTATGTATATAGATTATTGCTATTTTTAAAAAAGTTCTTAAAGTTACTTTTCCTAAAACATAGAACAGTATATAAAGAAGTGAAGCAAACAATTATCTCTTCTAGTTATGACCTTTGTACTTGTTTGCTGCTTGATGTGGGTTGTTAAGCCTTTAAAAATTGTGCACATGGAGGATATGAAACAAAATATTTTTTTAAGTTTATATATACATTTTAATAACTAAAAAGTCATAAATTACTACATCAATACCAAAGAATTCTACTATAATTTATCAAACGTAATAACTAAGCTGTATTTGGGTCTAAAAAAATATGAAATTTTGAGCAAATTAAGGACACAACCTACCTCATTGAAATCTTGATTTAAAAAAAAGAAATGATGTTAGGTACATTATAAAGGCTTAAAAAACCACTAGGAGGACATTCTGAGCTTCCGATTGGTTACTCATGTCATATACAAAAGTAAGTGTTTATTAAGGAGCATTTCCAAAAATGGAAGGTGGTGAGCTGGGTGCCACTATGTTTGATTTATTACATGAGCAATATCTTGG